GAGCGGGTGTATGGTCATAGCCTGTTCCTCTCATTTTGAAGAGCATTAACAGGAAAAGTGGTTTGTTCATGGAGCCCCATCTCATATGTCTGAAGCATGTCCTGCAGATGCACAGACTTGTACTCAGCAAGTTCATACCTCTTGGCCTTTCTCAACATGACCTCAATGGTATCTTTCCTAGTCCCCTCAGCTGAGGATTGTGTTTTGGGAATGCAGTTTGAGAGGACTTAGCTCCTTCTTGACAATCCTGAAAGGATGATTTATAGCAAGAAAGCCCAAGGTGTTTCTCCCACACGTTGAGCGGGTGTCAGACACAGGTGGTTGTGCGCCCTTGGCCCTAGGACAAGCGAGAGACTCATTTGTCCAGTGGTACTCACGTATTTGCTTGGGAACTATTAGAGGACTGGGAAGGGGCACAGCATAGGGAGGAGCGCTCTGGGACAGATTTAGGATCTCTCACCAGCTGCACCTCTACAGGTGCAAAAGAGCACCATCCCTGTGAACTGCCAGGGCCCATCAGTGGCTTCACCTGGGAAGGGAGCCCTATTTAAAGCAAGGGATGGGGTGAAGGTTAGGTTGTGGGTAAGTGTGTTGTGCTCATGAGCAGCAGCACGTTCAGCATTGTAAAAAGATGTTTATGAAACTTTTTTTCCAGAAATACCATTTTTTAAAAAGGAAATTAAGTGGTTTAATAGTTGGGAGAAATACAGTGGAGAGTCAGAGGGCAGCTGGCCTGCTCCAAGACAGCAGTGAAGACACAGGCTGCTGGCAGGTTACTGCACAGAATGGGATGCCCAACAGATACAGGAGCTGTATCTTGCTGTTGCTATATGCAAGGGTCACCTCAGGTAAGTGGCATATAACCTGCACACACATGCCAGAGTGTTAAAGGGGTGCCAGACAGACAAAAAACTTGATTGATTTCTCTAGGGAAATCAAAACCTTCAGAGTATTGCTAGCTAAGGTGCCAAGATGCCTTCATTTCAGGATGCATCTGAAATCACTCTGTAGAGGTGAAACTAAATGGAGTTGAGAAACACTGTTGAGTTTTTCCTAAAGTTCTAGTAGTGCCTCCTACTTTCAGTTCTCAAGTCCCCCCTCAACCTAAAAAAATACCCTCACAAAAGGGAAGCAGGTTTTTTCTCATATATTAAACAGTAGTAAGTGGGAAGACTCCTCTGGCTCACCCAACCTCACTGTGTAATGCAGTAAACGTTGTAGCAATCCTCTGAGTAGTAGGAACTGAAAATAGCTTTCTCCTTTGCTGTGCTAGTTTATTTCTCCTGTGCCAGATCTGTCTCTTGTTTGTCAGGGAAAACTGCCAGGAGTGTATGAGGAAACTTTGGCCGATGGGTGTTTGGAATACGCTGTTGTGAAAGCGCTTGAACTTCTCTAGAGCCCTTTCAGCAGAAGGTTGTGAAGCAGCTTACGAACATCAGTTAATGGGAGGCTGTAAATAAGAGAAATCTGCTGGAGAAAAGGCTTTTCATCGTGAAAGGCCTGATCTGTTTTCATAATCTCGAAGGCAGAGGTTAATGCAGTAAAGGCCAGCGTGGCTGTGGGCTCACTTTCCGTCGGTAATTTTTAGCCTGTAACCACACGTGGAGCACAGCCGTGCTGCTCATAAAGAGGTGCCAAGGTTAGGACAAAATGTCAGCCAGAGGGTCGGTGGCTCTACAACAGGGCATGACCTGAGCAGCTGGGGCATGAGGAACAGCAAAACCTGCCTCTTGGCAGCAAATGTGCAGAGAAATGGTCCTTCCCGAGTGTGTGCACATAGGACTATCAGCCCCTGCCCCCCAGAGAGGGAGTGGGTGCAGGAACAAGGTCAGTTATGTTTAGGTAACTAAAGCAATTGATATGTTAACCTTCCTCCCATCTCCTGATTGTACAGAGAATGACAGCTTTAGTTTATTTTAAATGAGCAGCATCTGACTTCTAATGAACCTGCACCCAAAAGAAATATTTGTATTTTATTTTTGGATGATGGTAGTGCTACTTGTGAGATGTAGGCTTGTTTGACCATTACCTCTCCCAAGTATTTGCAACTCAAGCTTTACCACGACCTGTGCTTGGGAACAGGAAGGTGACCAGGTAAAACCTAGCTGTAGACAAAATGTAACCTTCGTCATTGCTGTTTTCCTCTCGTTCTAGCGAAGCACAGCCCTTCTTGATGCACAGGGCTCCCAGGGAGCAGCTGGGGAGGAGGTAGCACATGGCCTCCCATGTTCTACCACATGCACTGCTGCTGAATGGGATCCAGTATTCCTGGATTTGCACACTTTGCCAGAATGTCGCTTTTTGGTGGCAGGATGTTTAACACCATTTCATCTGCTGCCTTCGAGATGCCTGTGTGACTGAGGCTTCAAGGTTACATGTACCAGGTCCATTATATTCCACAGCCAGAGAAAATCAGAGTATCAACCTGCCTGCATGTACACAGCAGTCTGTGAAGTCTGCACCACAACACAGTGAGTTCGATTTCTGATCTCGTGTCTAGATCACTATCTGTCAGCATCTTTTGGTGTTAAAACCACAGGGGCTGTCTAGCACAGCTACCTGAGACACAGAGCCTGTTAGAAAATGAGCCAGTGTTGTAGGTGAGGGAAAGAGAGAGATCTGGAGAACTGAGCCAAATATGCACCCCGTGGTAACATGTTCTGGCACAGGATGCAAAGCCACATGCTGCCTCTATTGCATTTGGCTATTACTTTTTGGTGAGTGCACCTCTTTGACAGTTTTGAACTCTTTTTCTGAACCAAAAGAGTCTTTAGCAGCTGTAAAACACATGCTTAAAAATGAAGGTACTTAATTTGAACAACACTTAATTAAAAGTGAGAGCAGCCTCTCCCCCAATTCCTTCCAGCAGTGTTTTACTGAACTGCAGCTGGGGGATGTTTTGCAGTTCGTTAGCGGATCCCTGAGGGCGAGTACTTATTCCCACTATAGCAAATCAGTGACATCTGGGTTGGTGCAATTCTATAAATTCAGCAAAATAGGAATGAGGGGTGAAGGCCCTTGGGGATTGTCACAGAAAGAAATGAGTAACTCCAAGGAGAACTGCACCTAACTAATGGAACAGTGACACCCAGTGAGATGCTTTAAACGGGAGCAGGTTGAGTTCAGTCTCAAGAGGACCTTGAGGAAACCTATCAGACTACTAACACAATGGAAAGGAGTGTAGTGCAGTTTTTAAAATACAAGATAAATCCTATTTCATGCACCACCTGTCCCATGGTGCCTAACAGCAAGATGTGCTTCCTGGTTTACAGCTTGCTTGTAGCAGCAACAAGATAGAATTAAGAGGACAAAATGTCATTTTCAGCCGTGAAAAATTAATTCCACTCTCCATTAATAAACCACTATTATAAACAACCAAGTAACTTAAGTCTTAAATACTGGCTCTAAGGAAAATGATGCACTTCCTAATCAAGTGTTTTCAGGGTATTTAAACTTGCTCCTAAAATATAACCTGTTATTTTGGTGACAATGTTTGCCACACTGTATGCAACAGTCATCAGACACTATTTAAATTCTAGCATTTCCTTTGCACTGGAAACCTGCAATAGGGTATTTTAAGACCTTCTTCCCCGCTAAAGGAAAGAGTGTGTTCTTCCTTTCCTTCTCTCTTGGAAACTTAGGAGTGGAAAACTTGCCAGCTGACGCTGGGATCGAGCATACTGTCCTGGCAAGGTCGTGTCCCCTGCTTGCTTCTGCAGTGCTGTGGATCCAGGCTCAGGCAAGGAAGCTGCTTCAGTGTTCTGAACAGTCTGGGCTCTTTGATCCAACCTTCAAGGTAAAGCTGATATGAGACCCTATTTTTATCTGACTGTGGTCAAGGTGCATATGGGGTTAAAAGGTCCAGTGTAATATAACTCTAACCCCAGGAAAACTGGCTGTGGGGCCAGCACCAGGACAGCAGATGGCAGAGGCAGTGTATATGGAGCATCCCTATAAACCTTGCCTCTGCAACACCTTGCACTGACACAGCAGGTGGCTACAGCCCTGATGTTTTGTGGATGCAAATGCAAGACACAACCACTTACAGCTTTTCTGACTTCACACGTCACATCTGGCAATTATTTTCTGAAAGGCACAGAAAAATAAGAGTGCTCAGATTTACTTTGGTGACCAAGATACAGCAAGGAATGATTAAGAAAGCAACAACAGTTGCTCTAACCCATCCAGGTAGATGCTGCTCTTTGAGAAGGGGCTAAAACTCTCTTGTCTGTTATGAGGAGCATTTGTCACAGGCTTGGGAGATCCCTCAGCTGGTAGATTTGGGTATTGCTGGCTGTAATAATTTCCATCTACTGAATGCGGTTTTGTATTTTATCTCCAGGGTAAAGGCTTTAATCCCACATGCTCCACCACTGCAGCTTCATGTCTATGAAAATTGTGTTGTGCAGCTCCATCCAGGCCCTGCATGACAGGACTGAACCTTCTTTACTAGAATATACGCCGTGAGATCATCTTGAAAATCTCCCTTATTCAGACAGTTGTGAGACTAAGTACATCACCTCCAAGTATTCTCTTTGCTATGTGAAAGAGCCAGCTCTTAAGTGGGGGTTTCATTATGTGAATTTAAGTGGCACAGAGAAAACTCAGTTAAGGCAGGACAAGTTGTGGTTTCCATGTCAGCTGAACAGACAGAGAGGGAGGAGGAAAGGGCAGGTTAAGTTTCAGCTTTTCCTCATCAGTTAAGGGACTGAAATGTTGTAATGCTGAAATATTACTGCATCTTGGCTAATAAAAATTTATAGCAAAGACTACTAACATGAGGGGACAGAAAAGATAAGCAGATAGATAGACTGCAATAACTGGTTTAGAAAGAAGAGATACCAAGATGAGATCTTAAAAATCTATCTTGATCTCTTCAGGGAAAGATGAGGCAGGCTTCAAATTTCAGAGTTCTTTTTATGTCTTCTAGGACCTAAAAATACATCAACACATCTGCTTTTAATTTTTTCCCTTATTTATCCACAGATATAGTTCACAAATACAGGAGTCCCAGCATCCTTTATTTTTAAGCCATTTTTGTTAGCTTTTTTCACCAGGAAGTCTTACCTTGTTCTGTTTGGATGCAATACACCTGCTGGAACTGCTACTTTCAGAATTACTGCCTGGAATGTCACTTTGTTTGGTCAAATAACAGCATTCATGGAAACACCGTAAGGATTTGGCTGTATTAGAACCTTGTGCTTCAGCAACCTTTAAGCATCTTAACAAATCCTTTTTCCATTGCCTATGGTTTAACAGGTTATTCTTTCTAGAAATGTAGAGGAGTATGGCTCAGTTTTAACTGAGCAGGATTCAAGAACTTACTGAACATTTTCCCAGGGCCCTCCCTCATTCTTATAAAGACTTCTAATCTTAACTATGAGTCCACTGTCCAAAACAGAGTATTTGCTCAATACTATTTCTATTCCAACTACACTTGTAGAGAAGCAGCTTTTTAAGAATACTATGTTTTTACTCTTTGCATATTTACAAGTACAGGTTGCTTATCAAGGAAAAGGCCTTTCTTTTTTGGTGCCATACTCATGCTTTATTAAAAAAAAGAAAAAAAGCTACACAATGCTAAGAGAAAAAAAATCAAGTATAATTAACAAAAAACCTGCAGCTGTTTTCAAGAGATCTGATCTCACTTATAAATGGAAGTCAGCAGGTAAAAACCTAGATGTTAATTCAACACTTCAGTTGCAGTACAGCTAAACTTAATCATCCAAAACAATCAGTCATTCTTAAACTGACTGTTGATTGTAGCTACACAATCAATCATCTGTATCAATTGATTAGAAAAAGTCCCTGGGAAGATTTAAAGATAAATGGAAAAATATCAGAAGAATATTACTTAGCCCGCCCATAAGCTTTTGCAGAAAATAAGAGATCTTTCTGGCTTTGCTCTCCTTTTTAATTTCAATGCAATTGCTCTGTGTATTTTAGAAATGTCTAAGTGTAAAGCTGCTGAGTTCTGTTCAGTGAGGGGACTAAACTGGTACAATACGTATCTATGTATGCAATTGACAGCAAGCTACACTAGTGCTATGTCTTACTATCTCCATGGAAGTGTATTGTGCAAGTCTCAAATAACTTCAAAACACTCTTGAAACAGCCCTTGTGTCACTCCTATGAGGTAGGTAGTGTCCTTCCTTTGGAGAAGAAAAGAGAACAGACTCTTTACTGCTCAGTACATCAGGCACACTGAACAACGGGACAGCCAGCCCACATTATTATTTGGCTTCCCTGGTACTTCCCTGAATTCAGAGCTTTCACCTGCAACATTTTGTTTAGCACCATGCATTCCAGGAATAATCAGTGAATGGTAATTTTGATTATACCTCCTCCAAGCTAAGGAAGAGCTTCAGCATAACTCTTTAAACAAGCACTACCATCACTAGTCTGCTCCATTCAGCTCTACAGTCTACAGTTTAATGATTTTGTACATGAAGTATTAAGGTGATGCTTCAATCCTTTAGTCTGACAGCAGCCACTCTTCTTTCTCAGATTAAATGATACCAGGAAAAAATGAACTGCTGTCACGAAGCAGACAGCATACAGAAGGCTACAAGTATCACATGCAGTTCACGTGTAGCTCAATTAATGCTTTGTAGACATGAACTCTAAAGCAGTTTTTCTTACCCCACGTGTAGAACTGTTAAGTCTTCACAATTTTTTGAGTAAGTTAAGGAGCTGTGAGAAAGGAATTAATAGTGTTCCTTCACTCCAATGCCATAGTTTATGTGCTGCCTGAAACCACTTTAATATCTCTTACTAACAAGGAAGAAAGTCCGGTCCACATCTTTTACAGTTCTCATTTTGAAACTTTCTCAAAACCTCACAGCAGTGGTGTGGCAGTGTACTAAGCCAGCTGAATCATGGTGATAACTCTAGATTATAATAAAGCTTAGGCTGCCACATGGAAAGGGGTGGCATAGGGAGAGGCAGAATTGCTGCTGTCTCATCTTTAAGCCAGTGAAATGATACCCCACTCAGCTGATAATAATGATATCCAGTAACATACCTGTGACACTAAGCTATCTCTGTGTGTTTAAAAATTGAGTAGAAAATTCAAGTACCAAAATAAAAGTTTCTAACTAATGGGATAAAGCAGCAACTGTGTTCTCTCATTTGAAGAAAAATGAGTACACTGGCTTATTCACCAGAAATAATTTAGAGATGCCAAAGTTCAGTTACCACTGCATACTGGAATGTTCTTGCTAAGTTTCAACTACAGCAAATTAAAAGAGAAATGAGTAATCCAAAACTGTTATGACATTTATCATGAGCAGTAGAGGTCTACTAGCCACTGTTCTTATGAACTGCCTCTGGCTCAGAAAGTCACTGTGAACCATCCAGTGAATGCCAAGTTGTATGATCAGAAAGATGGGCTTGGTACAACTGGACATGGCCAGTGCTGATTCCTATGCAAGATGCCTCCTCTCTTCTTCATGCTTAGAGCTTAAGCATTTGGAGGGTAAATCACCAAGAGCAGAGAAAAAGCTCAAACCTTCTAGTACTTACTTCTTATTTGTACAGTCCTTCAGCTTCTAAGGGCCACACTTGCTCCAGGACTCATTCAGTAAGGGCTAATCTATTTATCTCAACAAATAACACTAGAGTATTACAAATTAGCATCCTCTCTTCTGATCCTTTGTCTTTTTTCCCCAGCATACCATTGTATCTAGAGCAGCTCTCATCACACCCCCTCAGAGAGTACCTTTGATCCTTGGAGAGAATTACAGCACATAGTTCAAGATAACCTATTACCAGAAATGAAAAAAACCCCTCTTGATGTGAGGTTAGAGACATAATCCAAGAGAGGGAACTCAGAAGTTCAGTGTATCAGGTGCTGCAATAAATACAGGGCTTTAGTACATAGAGTCATTGAATACATAAACACTCTGTTGAATCAATGCAAGCTTGAACATATGCCCTCAAACCTACCACAGAATCAGTCAGATTACATCACTAAAGGCAAAAAAAGTTGTTCCATGCAACCTGAGTGGAGATACTCCTTACGAAGGCAGCATTCAACTGTTTGCTAAGTGATCTGTATGACAAAGAAGCTATCTTAACTGCGAAAAATATTCTGCCTGGACTAGCTATGTCTTCAGAAAGTTGAACAAAGCATCTCTTCCATAGCAAGATGAGTCAAGAACATCTTCACAGTTCATTCTGGCCAAGTGTATAATAAAATAGTGCCAGTACAGGTAGTTTCAGAGCTTAGATGCTTCAAACACACTGTGACAGGATTTGGAAATACTGCTCAGCATTCCCTGACTCAGAAGCTCAGCCCCTGCAGAGCAAGTGTAGATCTAAAAGAAGATTTCCACAAGTAGGGATCAGGAAGGGGAGGAAAAGAAGACAGAGGTCTCAAATTGATGCCTCTTCCTGACCTCAACAAGCTTCCAGATAACCTTCAGACACAGGAAGAGATGCAGCTGAGATGCAAACAACTCAAGCCTTGTCCGAGTGCCTGAATGGCAGCAAACTGACACTCTGCATATCTGCTCTTTTCCCTGTCAGTTAAATTCCTGAATGCAGTGGATATGGATCAATACCTCAGTACCTGGTAATCACGTAAGCCACAAAAGGGAATCTCATTTTGATTTCATAGAGCTTTTCTGCTTGAGTACTGAAATAACATGTAGTTAGTGATGAATATGCATCTGTGTTACTAGTAAGAAAGACAATGTGAGAGAAAAAATAACTCAGACCAGTGTACTGAGCAGCAGAAAGATGGGTGAGATTTAAAAAAAATAATAAAGGGTGAATTAAATAGCTTGCCAATAAAAAAATTCTTTGACGCCAACCATTTTTCAAATTCAGTTTCAAGTGTGTACAGCAAATCCTTGTAAAGCTTTAAAAAAGCCCAAAATCAACATCTGGATACATATGGCATTCTAGTTTTTAGGAGAGAGAACCAAGAACTTACTGAAGAGTTGTTCTGTCTTGTTCAATAGTTTCTTGAGTAAACATTGCAGAACTACCACTATGATCTGCATACTTAAACTGCTGGCACGACTCAAATAACTAACCATTTAACAAGTTGGGTATAAAAAAAATTTATGTAGTAATACCAATTCAGCACACAAATTTCATGCTTCACGAGTTCTGCTGCTGTGTAAGAGTCTTTCTAACATCTATGCAGATAAGTTCAGATTTTTAGGTCACTGCATGCCCAGATCAAAACAGCAGCAAAATATCTACCACTACAAGCAGCCATACCCAATTGTGCCTTTAGAATGCAAACTATGCAGAAGTCTAGATGATCAGTGCCTTGCCACTGAAATGGGGCCACACACACAAACTTCAGTGTGTGCATGCTGTAAAGAACGTTACTTACTGAGGAAGAGAAATGCATACAGATTTTGATACAGATAGGATACAATCAAGACTGATTAAGTCACTAGACATTCAGATTAGGGAGAGGAGAAAAATCCTTCAAAGACAATGTACAGATGACAAGCCAGCATTACAAAGAACTCTAAAGGCACATTTCAGGTAACATGTTTCTGTTAAGACCAACCGCTTACACACGCAGGCACAAATCTTAATGGGTACCTCCCCCCACCCCCCAACAATTAAAAAAAAAAAAATTAAAGAGAAGTGCATTTTCAGTAATATTAACACCAGTTAATCTGTTCAGTCCAAATGTTTAGCAGTATTTTCCTTATGGTGATATGGATTCTCTGCACTACTCCAATCCAAAAAAACCCAAACAGGCAGGATTAGTAAAGGTTCAACTGTTGTACTTAGTTAACATTACTCATCAGAGCCCACTGGTCTCTTCTGTGCCCTCTTGGAGGGCAACCTCCTTGGTGAAGCTTTATCTGGATAGAAAAAAAAAAAGAAAAAGAGTTAGAGCTGCATCAATTGCAATTGTTACATGACCATGTATTTTTCTTCTCCCAAACACAAGACAAACTGCCTTGCTAATGCAATGTATCACCACAGAGAAGCCAATTCAAGCAACTTGTTCAGCCTTTTTCATCCTAAATAGAAGATAAAAAACCCCATTTCCATTCTGTAAGATGCAACTGCAGGGTGAGGTTTGCCTTATTTGCCAGTTACTAAAATGCAAAAAAACCCAAGACCAGAAACCTACACCATCTCCAACACACTCTGCTGTTTAGAAAACTTTAATGTTTGGTAATTACACTTTCATAAAGATAATGAATTATTTTGATCAATACTGACTTGAGTTTGCCTTCCTGAAAAATTTATGATTGACTCTCCTTTAAGCAAATTTGTCTTGCATGAAGCATTTCCACATTCATATAGATTACCAGCTGAAGATGAGTGTTTTTCTTGTGAAAAGCCCCACTTTTCCCAAAAGCATCCACATTTGACTATGAAGATGAACTTTGTAATCAGATATGGGGATTCTTGACTGTGAGGGTGGTGAGGTGCTGGAACAGGTTGCCCAGAGAAGCTGTGGCTGCCTAATCCTTGGAAGTGTTAAAGGCCAGGTTGGATGTGGCTTAGAGCAACCTGGTCTAGTGGAAAGTGTCCCTGCACATGGCAGGGAGGTTGTAACTAGATGAACTTTAAGGTCCCAATACAAACCCTTCTGTGGTTCTATGATTATTGTAGAAAAGCTTCAATATTCTGTATGAAGTGCTGAAGTGATTGCTATGTGCACCTGCTGACTTAAAAATGCTCATTTTCTTAAACAAAATAATCTCCAATAACTTCACTGTTTAGAGTATGTGCAAACAAAAAGAGCAGCCATCATGCCATTATAAGCCAATCAGTATAGCATGAAATGTCTTCAAATAATTAAAATTCAAGAACCTCCAAGATCTTGAAGGCCAGATATTTTAAAGAATTCTAATGTAGGGTTCTAACTGAAGCTAACCTGGAGCTGAGAAAACTACAATTAAGAACAATGTAAACATCTGTTTTTCCTAGACTTCAGGTATTAAAGATATGAAAAGATATTAATATCTATATGGTTTAAGAAAGGGACTGGGACAGGACCCAAACATTACCAGGATTTGAACCCGTTTAAAGACAGCTTGTTATTCAGAAAGAAAAGCATTTAGATTTTCTTGCTAGACTGAGACTTTTCAGTTTTCTGTGCCTGGATTTTACACTATCATTCTTGTGTCTCACAGAAAACGATGCACAAGAAAGCTTACACCTTCATGAGTAGAGCAATAGTCATGTAAATAGAGTAAAAAAGGTGAAGGAATAAAAAAAGCAAAGTCATCAGCTCCTGGCACATATCAGAGCTAAGGCGTTTAGCCATTCTACACTGAATGAAGCTCAGAATATGCTTATTTCATCAAAAGAGCAATCTTTGCCAAATAAAGGTGGGTCCCACAAAGGGTTTTCAAAGCACTTTTCTTTGCATCTTGTCTCGGATGCACTTTGTTGAGGCTCTTTCACCTCACATCAGTTAATGCTTCTGATGATAGTTCACCCAGAATGAGGAAGACCCAGGAAGATAAACCTGATTAGTAAACTATTATACCCAAGGGTGAGGTTTGTTTCTCACTGAAACAAAGTGAACTCAGCCATTGGTCATGAACTTCCCTCCACCATCCTCATATAGTATCAGTTTGACACTACACTCAGGTAGTGGGGAAGGCAAAATACACATCTGCCTTTTAAATAAAGAATTCTGGGAACTGTTAGAAGAGACAACAATACTTAATCAGTATTCTACTGAAACTATGTAACTACAGTATAACCAGAAATGCATACACAAAATACATAAAAACATAAATTTAGAAGTATATAAAATGCATTTATGCCATTGGACGCATCTGTTCTGTTATCTTTTACTGCTCATGCTACATCACCAGGCATTGCATGCAGGAAGCTGTACTTCTATCCATGCCCAGTTTTTACACAGACAGCACATTAACCACTTTCACTCTTCAGCTCTCAGTTTGCCTCACCTCTTCTACTCTGCACTGAAGCCATGGGAAAGCAAAAGAGAAGAGTAAGAGAAGTTAGAAATATCCACAAATATCCACAGCCTAAGGATACTGTTGTCATTTCAGGTATCAAGTAGAACTTAATAATTTTGGATTTGTGAAGGACATTAATAACAAGTTTTAATGTGGCTTTAGTTAATATACACCTCTAATGCTCTTTTAAAACTTTGGTCTACAGGCAAACTTCCAAACAACTTACAGAAACGTTGAGATGACAGCTATTTTCTCCTATTTAAACCTCCTTTGTGATGCAGGTTTTGGGTAGAGATTTTATACTGTTGAAAAATAGTCTACAGACCAAATTGTAAAAGTCACCAATAGTCACTATTAGATCAACCAGTGAAGTTTGTTCTATAAAGACCAGGCTGCTAAAGTAACAGTCTAATCATTAAGCACAGTGCTTTAGATAAATTTTATTCCCTAGAAGACTTGTATGCTGTTCTGAGAAATGGGTATCAGTTACTTATTTGATTATAATTAATTGATAAACTAGGTTTGTTACGCTCCAGTTTGTGGAAGGTAGACTACTTACTTATTTGATTTAAAGTTTCTTGGGGAATCCAGCTCATATCAACATCATTTTGATTTGATGTTCCCATCTCTACTTTCTGTACCGGTCTTTTCCTCTGAAAATTCAAGAAAAAAAAGATTTTTCTTTCAAACAAGGTTTGGATAGCACAAGTATCAGAAATTACTCAAAATGCTACATTTAATGAATTGCCATTATTTCACTAAGGCATAAACTTAAGGCTTTAGTCAATGTATGGAGACTGTCCTTGGAGTTAAAGCTAAGCTATCCTTCCTAATAGCAATTTATTCCCCTAAGCCTCACATTACCACTTTTAATGTCTCACAATACTTATTCCACATAAAGACATCAGAATTTCATGCACACCTGGACAAGTTCATTATACCTCTTGCAAAAAATGGCTGATTAATCAAACTTTGTGATGACCAGTTTCGTTATGCTTTCTCATATTAGCACAACATTCTTGTATGTCACCTTACAAAATAGATGTCAACAGACAGTAATTATCCCATACTTCTTCCTAAGTGAAGCTCCTTCAAAAATATGATAAGGCACACTGCACAAAGGCATCGCCTATGCATTGCATACAGATGAGACTTTGAGCTTTCAACAGCTTTTACTTGCCAAACCACATAGCCAGACAAACCCTTAGTTGTTATTAGCTAAATTAATACAATTACAAATAGAATTCAGAAGGCCCTAATCAACATTATGGCAAAGCTTTGATGAGAACTAAATAAAGGACTAGGCAGCTGGTTTCTCCAGAGTCTGATCTGGATTAAACTAATAGGCAGAAATAGAGAGCATGGGGAAAATCTACCCAGTAAGTAGTGAATCAGAAGACACACACATCCAGTGACTGGAAGGTATCAAAGCTTCCAATTCAGCTTCAGTGTGGTGCCAAAGAGCAGACCCAAAGAGCATGAGCTGAGCAATCAAGATGTCTTCAGTCATGAAGTTTTTTAAACCTCTTTGGTTTCTCCAGTAATCTCTAAGGTTCTAAAAATAAATCTTCTGAAGTTTTACCTGTACTGTCATATTCCAGAAACAATTACTGAATTGCTTTCTTTTCACATCAGAAAGGTCTTGTATTAACAGGCACATAGACAAACACACTACCCACCTTCCTAGATTCTAGTAACTGGTGTAGGCCAACAATGACAAGTAGACCAAGTCCAGCGAGGAACATGTACATGAAGATCCTTCAAAAAACAGTTTAAGAAACCATTAAATAAAAATCTTAAAGTTCTGAAGAGAGTTTACACAGAGGTACAGAATCTAAGCCTAGCTTTCGCCACTTAAGAATTTTGTAGGGGGTGAGCGGGGAAAAAAAAAAGATTCTGAAACTGAAGTGCTAACAAATATTCTGACTTTGACTTCAGAAACTGTAATCATAAACTTAATTCTGAACAACAGAACATTTGAAAAATGCTACATAAATTAGAAAACTGTTCTAAATAAATACTGAAATTGTGTAACTTCAAGAACTTTTACACACTATCATGAAGTTTCCAGATATTGGGTTATAGGCAATATTTATGTTTGTGATAGCTTTAAGCACTTACAAAGCCCTTAAAAATCTCTTATATGCTTTTAGTAGACTACTGCAAAGCAAGTGCTTCTAGGACTTAATTTATTTGCAACAGAGCTTTAAAACACCTTACTTATCTTGTTCTCTGTTCCACAGTTAAAATTCTACCTATACAATCATTTCTTGAATCTGCATATTTAGGTTTGTTTTGAATAGTTTTACCAGAAATACAGGTAGATACTTAGCAAGAGGTGAACCTAAGTTATATCTAAAATTAATTTGCGGAGTAGGGAGTTTACAGGTAAAAATTCTATTGCAAGCTGAACATCTGAAGTCAGATTTATGATAAAGGAAATTATGGAATGAAACTAAACAAGAGACTTAATTGAAAATCCCTGTTATAGGGTAATTATCTGTTCACAGGACATCCACACAAACTGATTCTAAGACAATGAATTCTTTTGAGAGCTTCTTTTTCAGAATATCACACATTTTCATGTGACCAATTTTTCTTTAATTTATGCCATTCTATTTGAGAAATATGACTTAATACAACAGCTATTTCTTTTGGCTGACCTTTTTTAAAAGGAAGCTTGCTCAGCAGGCAATTTCTAGCTGTGGCAGGACAATTCAGATACTTGACATTGTCTACAAGTATTTCTGAAGAATAATTTTTTTAACTCAGAGGTTCACTTAAAATTCCACTCCAGTGTTACAAATTAAAAGTGTATCAGCATGGCATATGCTTGCAACATAAAAGGTGTGTCAGATCTACTTATCTCTGAAAAGGATCACTCCTGAAAGATACCTTCTACAGACAGGTAGAATGACTGAGTTCCTCTATCTTGTACTCGAAATACATCTTCTAGTTTTTGTAAACTTAGATTATACTGGACTGCTCCAGAAGAAATTTATTCCAGTCTTGACAGCAGGACTCACAGCCTAATACTGTGGACCTTCTGCATCTTTTAACTCTTAGGAAAAGGCACAGCAGCATAACAAAAGCTTAACAGCTTTGAATTGCTATGTACCTGTATAACATCCAGTCCTATTCCAGGCTTATGTCCTCTGAGCACATCTGTAAACTGCTCATTGACTTAATACCAATCCTGAAGATCCCCACTATTAATACAGACCTTAATTTTGGGAAAAAGTTCTTACTTTCAGTCTGTCAACATTGTCTTTGTCAGATGCCTGGTACACCACCAAAACAGTAGACCTAACATTCAGTAAAATGAGGATACAAGAACTATTCTCACTGGCACCATCAATAATGTGTTCTACCAGGACACCAACTAAACTTGCATCTCCAGTCTCCTTACGTTTCTCCATCCAGCCCATCTTCTTTTTCAATAATTGTAACAGTTTGATTGAAGACAGCATCTTGAAATATGTTGCCCTATAACAAAGTTTGCACATAACATTTCAAATTAATTCATTAAACACATACACAAATGTTTATCTTTTTCCATGTTCTTGGAAAAGTTCTAGAAAGCACTAACTCCTGCATGAGATTTTGTTAAGTTTGTAAGTAGTGCTGGTTTGACTGAACACATAAAAGCACAAATGTTTTGCTCCAATTGCAAAGAACAGTCTTGATAGTACTAAGATAGTCACACCTGGCCTTCAGCATGTTATTTCCTATAACAAGAGATATTACATACAATGGGTTCTTATTACGACTACCAAAACACAAAGATACAGAAGCCTGTTAACCTCTGACCTGCACCAAAAGAGAAAAAGATTCCCCTGTTTTATCCCCATTTATGGTTTTGCATAGCCTTCCCCCAGATTGCAACTACTGGCCATTTATTCGCCTAAAGTGAAGTTTGCAGTGGCACTCAGATTGGCAGTAGGGTTTGTTAGCAAAGCCCAATCTGAAAACCACAGTGAAAATTAGTTATCCTAAACAAAGCTTTAGTTTTGTTTGGTTGATTTGGTTTTTTAGGAGTACATCCGACTACTATACAGTTCCAAGGCCTTCTAGCTTCCACTGCCGACATAACTTTAAGTGCAACATATAAAGAACTGAGTGTGCCTGGGGGACTAATGTGAAACATGTAAGCAGTCACTTACTGTGCTTATGTATCTAGTAAATATTACAAAGGCATTCACTTTATGAAGAGGTAGTAACTCAACTAAGCAGTTCCTTCCTGGCACCTCCACATCAACTAGGAAGATTCAAATGAATTACAACATCAGGCTTACGTTTACATCTCTGTAGTTGAGATTGATAACTAGACCGAAAGGACGGCCACCCATAGGCTCAGCAGGGATGAAAGAGTACTCAAACGTGGCTTGTCTCTGTGGTGGAACTACTGTGTTCAGAGAGAGAGCTGTGAAGTTCTGGATATAAAACTGGTAGTCTTGGGGATACCGGAAGGAAGCATCGAGAGACTCGACAATGAAATCCTCTGTACCCTTATTGGTGAAGCCCACCAGAAATTTTACAATGTTGTTCGCTGGAAAGTCTGAAACAAAAAAATATTGAACCATTAGAAACTTCAGATACCCCACCTAGCCAGTTTCTAAACAGAGAGCATCTAAAACAGACTCTGGTTTTAGAGCTTCACTGCTTTAATTGCATAGACATAGTCTAAGCAACGGTAAGCGGATGGTAGATTAGCAGGGGACTCTTACCTTCACCTTTCACAAATAAGATGGTTGTATCAGCACTGGGTGAGGCTTTAGGCTCTCCTGACAAGTCTTCTTCCTCTTTTTCTTCTGTCTAAGACAAGAGACTTTTTTGAAAAAATCCTATAATGAACAGTGAAGCAAAGACCATGCTTGGTTCATGAGAATCCCATGTGTCAAAGCAAGCAACAGCAGCAAGTATTCATACCATATCCTGCTGTTGCAGGATTAGCACAGTCTGTTCTCCCTCTAGACTTGATCAGCATCACTTTCAGCATTTCTCTTTCTACTTGTTATATTGGACACAGAACTAATCTGAACTGCATTTGGCTGTATTGAAAGGTTTATAATCAGAAAGAATCAGCATGGTTTCTGTTTGGGTGTAGAAGGAATAGAATAGGGTCTAAATGTTAAGTGTTCACATCTAAGATATTTCTATTTAGAAGACAAGCACATCCAAAATACAGGCAACCATATGACAAACAAGAGTTACTTTCATCACAGGGGAACGTTTAGCAGCTTTCTATTCAGTTTTCATTAGTTAAGCTATGTATGCCTGGAAATAGTTACACTGTTGGAACTAAGCAAGTTCATGGACCCACTTGCTCAAGTTCACCTTTGTGATGATGCACTTTTTAATTTGGCAAATGCAAGCATTAAGGGCTTATTTTCCACTTGAGGATCACAGGATCATCACTGCCCCCAGCAAATAAAAACAAGGCTGACCCAATTTTAAACAGTCTCAGCTAATTGCCTGCAAGTCAGATCATTTGATTTTCATGCTTCAACAACCACCTGAAGCAGTGAATATCCTACTGGATCGGTCGTACACGTACCATGAATTCAGGAACTGGAGCTGAGCACCTAGCACCTTGATTCCAAGATGCTATGCCAAACTATATCTTCTCTTACAGTGACAAATAAAAGAAACGCCCTAAAAGGTGTAATGTTTTGTAACCAAGCCATAGACTATTTATTAAAAGCAAAATATTTAATAATACTCTGTCAGCATACCTTCTATCACTTAGCAGAGCTGGTCAACCATAAGCTCATCAGCTTGCCAACATCAGTAAAATCTGATAGAATGAAAGAACAGTTTACCACGTCTGTGTTCTTATTACATCTTTGCCTAATAATGTTCCAGACTTCCTTAATTTGAGAGAATTTGGTACACTAAGTGTCTGGCAAACCTAATACTCATCTACTATAAGCAGATTACAAAACTACATAAAATATTTCACTTTTCTGTTTGTAGTTTTTTGTAATTTTTTGTAATTTTTTGTCTTGTAAGTTAAGTTTTAGTTAGCAGAATTCTTTTACCTATGTTGTCTTGTCTGATTAGTTTTGCTTAGCATGAGTAACTAAGGTTGCTGAAGCCTTAGGCTGCAAGCTGCAAACTTTCCCCTTGAAAAGCTGAACAAATCCTGAACTGTTGTTTAGCTATGCGAAGGGAGGCTGTGAGACCAGTGCAAACTGAAACATTAGGAAGGCACAACTGTTGGCAGAAAATGCAACCCATCCATATAAATACAGCTAGAGAAATAGTTCAATAAGGAACAAGAAGACCTCAGAACAAAAATCACCATTAAACCAATAAGATGCATGAAGAACAGGTGCACAGGTGGTAAGAGTATAAAAGGCCAGGGATTTTGTTCAGGGTCCCTTTCCAGAGGGACCCAGCTCGAGCTGTCCTTATTGCAGTAGGACTCAATTGTTAAATTATTTTTTCCTGGAATCAGATATCTGAGACTCTGCTGAGGGAAAACTTATGTCAAAGATTTTTAACATTCATCAAGCTGAATCAAGTGACCCTAAACAACAACATGCTCACAACATACCCTGGCAACAAGTGTCAGAGGCTAGGAATGTAGCAAGCGAAAATGGGCTACAAAACAAATGTTCTGTTACCCCTGGAAAATAAATACAAAGAAGCCAGAATTAAGTAGTCCTATAGCCCAATGTTGTTCTCAGTCTACTGAGGTGCAGCTTAAGCTAGAAAAGAAGTACAGGGGGCTTCCATCAGAATCTGATTCTCTCACTTGGTGTTCTTTTTTGTGACCTATAGTTTTGGCAGTAAGAAACCAGGTTGTACCCATGTGGTTTCTCAACTGGTAATTCAGGAAGAAAAGATAAACCCTTTTGACACTTCAAACTGAACACAAGCTTAATTAGAGATGTGGAAACAGCTATTGGAAAATAACGTTACTAAACTCATAGGTAAATTATCCAGCTTGAAGCACTTTTGGTCTAATTCATACTTTTGAAGTAACGCTCATGTAAAATTACCAAGTCTGTTGGCTCATCTTCTTCAACTTCAGCTTCATCATCTTCATCTTCAACTACAGTATCTTCCACAGCTTCCTCATCTTCTGTAGCATCTTGAGCTGCAACTAATAAACCCGAACCTACCAAAATAAAATACAAATACAAGAAAGTCTTTTTAATGTCTAGTTAATGAACAGAAAACTGACACTGAAGTACAATTCTCAAACTAATGTCTGAAGTTCTTAAAAATCTGTCCAATGCAGTGTTCTGAAGCCTCAGTTGCAAAAACCTCTCATTAAAATGATGCCTGTGTTGATCTTTCAGCCTTATTCCTTCTCTAATAACTTTCTTACCTACTCATTTATCTGCCACCAAGTTCAAAACCAAAACGTTTACAGCTGGATGACAAAAAATTCAGCATTCACACAGCAATGCTTAAATTTGCAGAAGGCAACAGATTTGCCTTAAAAGCTATTGCTTAATTTTGGAACATGTTAACATATGAAAATATTTTAATTTTGTAATTCAAAAAGTGAAAATAAGACATTGCTATTGCCAGGAAATTAATTTAGTAAGTACTGTTTCTTCTAAGACTAGCAAGTCTACTAAATGATTAGCATACTGATAACAGAACAGCACCCTTTGAAAAGTAGATAATAAGTTATTATTTTTTGCACGTATTTCACTCAAGTTTTAAAACATAAAAAAGTCTTTTTTTAATTTGACCTCAATATAATGTACTAATATATCCATATATGCAACAGAACCACAACATTAGTCAGAAAAGAAACCTGACCTAGAGCAACGCTCCAAGACAAGTGTAATCTGATAGTTCATTGCCTCTTTGCTTTCATGGAGCCAAGCCTCATACATTCAAACACTGGGCAAATATGACTAATAAAAATACTGGCCATGGGACAAAGTTCTGTCCCTTTGCAGTTTACAGCACATGGAGGCAAGGCTGAGAACTTTTAAAACATGCACAAAAAATACAGATTTTTTGTTAATAAACCTAACGTTTTCCATATATGAAAAAGTAGAAGTGAACGGATGATTGATTTACCCAAGTCTCAAAAAGATTTAATTGCTATAAATATGCTTTTAAAATAAATATTTAAAAACTTTCACTGGAAATAAGAATCCTTGAGCAGGAGAAGTATAGCCGAGGACTTAAGAATTGTCAGTTCAGAGCTAGAAAAAGCAAACACAACCCCTCCTCACAAGTGTCTTTTAGAAGGTACACTCAAAGACTTTTGCTCGAGCACGTGCAATACTTAACCAAAGCCTTAACTACCGTGATTTTATTTGCTGAAGTTTTAAACTTTCAAGTGTAGGAATAAAGATTTTTTTTTTAATTTAAAAATGAACAGGCTACGGGTAAGCCATAATAGGTACCCTTTGCTGCCCAGCACACTTTCATATCCGTAGCTTACAGTCTTTTCAATGGATGTCGGAGGGGCTGCTGATGATGTGGCAATAGCGGGAAAGGAGAGCTGCCGGCTCTGGGAAAGGACTAACACACAGCGTGTGCTGCAGCCCACTGCAAGAGCTGGACGAGAAGCCTCCCTCCCTTCCCTCTCCTGCCTTCCCAAACTTAGTAGTAGGGAGGCAATTTCCAGACCGTGAATCAGATAACGCTGCAGCGTAAACAGAGATTAGCGCTCCTCTGTGTCGCCAAGGACACTCGGGGGGTGGCGGCAGACGAGGTGGGAAGGCAGGGTGGCAGCCAGCGCATCTGCTAGGAAATGAGGGAACCAGCACCGCCGGGGAGCGGCGGAAAGGACAAGCCCGCTGCCCCGTCCCCAGGCGGGGTCTGGGCGGGCCGGTGCCACTGCCGGGCCGGGGGCCGGTGCCCGGGCGGCAGTCGCAGGGGGCCTGCCCGACACCGCGGGCAGCTGTGCCGGGAGAGGCGGGGGCCCGGCCCCGCACGCCGCCAGGACGCCCTCGGACGGGGCCGGAGCCCCGCAGGCACCGGGCCGGGCCCCGCAGCCCCGGCGGCCACGTGCGCGGGGCGATGAATGAGCAGCGCCCGCCGGCAGGGTCGCGGAGGCGGCGCCGGGCTCCGCAGGCCCCGCGGCAGCCGCTCCCCCTCCCCGGACCGCCAAGGGGGATCCCTCCCGCCCCACCACCGCTGCCCGGGCAGCGGCGGCCGTTCATCCACCCGCCCGCCTGCCCGCCCTCACCTGGGCCGCCGCGGGCGCCCCCGAGCAGCAGCGCGGCGGGGAAGACGAGCAGGGCGAGCAGGAGCAGCTGCGACAGGCGCCTCATGATGGCGGCGGCGGTGACGGCAACGGCCCGGCACCCAGCGCAGCCAGCCCCGGCGGCGGCGGCGGGTGGCGGACGCTGCGGGACTGTCTAAATGGCGGCGGGTGCGGGAGCGGGCGCTGGGACCTCCTCCCGCTCCTCCATCCGGGGCCGGCGCCGCGCCCGGCCCGCTCCGCCCCCGCGGACGTGGCTCCGCCGGGCAGGAGGCGCGGCGGTCACATGGGCGCTTAGCACACGTCTGCTCTCGGCCGGCGCCTCCCCGCCCACCCAGCCGCGCCGGCCCTCCCTCACTCCCTCCCTCCCTCCCTCAGGGAAGCAGGCCCGGCACCGAGCCCGCAGCGGCTCGGGGAGCCTTTGGACGACGCCCTCGTCCACCTGGTGTGGTTCCCGGCGTAGCGGTTGTGATTCTTGGGGCTGTCCTTGTGGTGCAGGGCCGGGGGTCGGGCTTGGGTTGACCCGCGCGGCGCTGCAAAATGTGGAAGATGTAAAAGTTTTCTTGAGAGGGGATGTCCTTTGGTGTTTGATCTTTGTGTACTTTTCAAGCCTGATAACGAGAAAGGAGATGTAACCCGTGAATCACACAGCAGCTAACAGCTCTGAGTGATTTCCGCGCGTTAGGAAGAAAAATGACTTGTCTGTAGAATTGCCTTGTTAAGGTGTAGGGCTTGACACGCTTCGATGATCTCAGACCTAGGGAGAGGTTAACAAAGCTTGGGAAGAAGGATGTACCTACCACTGGTAGCGGATACAAAGAATGCAGAATTTACGGGCCACGGGGACATTTGGCAGAACTCCCAAGATAAGGAAGAAACTAATGAAGACAACTCATCAACTGTGCTGAAATCAGCTCCAACTGGGTAAAAGGTAATTCTGGCATGGGGGAGATCACGATGACTGGCTAACAGACCACCGACCAAAGAAACCCACCAACTCAAAAGCAGAGAAATACTGAGCATGCAGATTGATTAGCATGAGAAGCGAGGGAGTCATTTCCATTTTGAACTTCTTAAATGAATTTCCCAGATGTGTGTTTCCTCTTTGAGGATACCAGGAAAAGGCAAATAATTGTTTGTGTACACATAGACAGACTTACTTTTGCATTATTACTTGGTTTTGGTGAAGTGTTTAAGAATCAGTTGGTCTTGCCTCTTAAGCATTTACTCAGTGGCTTCTATGAGATGAATTCAACAAAGCACTTTTAGGAGCAGTGTCGTATATAAAGTCCTAACCTGTTGTCTCCTTCCTTTAGCTCTTTATTACCTCTTTTAGTTTAGCGAAGTAATTCTATGGATGTGGAATTTCGAGATTTTTTCTTTTTAATTTCTATGGTTCTTTTCAAAATTACAAATTTACTGTATGTGTCACTTATTAATAATTCCAATGAGAATTTCTCACTTAGACCTATCAAGCTGACATTATTCTTTCTCACCACTGATTACAACTCTGGGGAATCAACTTATTTGAAATTGATGCAGGCAGAAAGCGGTCATATTGCAGCCCTTATCCCTGGAAGCCCTGTCAGCTGCTTCTGACTAGGAGACAAAACTGTTCACGGGAGCTCTTAATGAGATTTGCTAGGTTTTTACCTGAATTGTGGGGGTTCTTTGAAGTGTTTTCAGGAAGAAATTTTATTTACTCTATTACAGCAAAATTGTCTCACAGACACACAGATTCCTTATTTTATAAAAAAAAAAAAAAAAGAGATACCTCTCTGAAGATTTACCTTATAGAAATATATGGATAAACTGATAGTGTTCCACAAACTTGACTAAATAATGAGATGATTTTTTGAGAAATGGAAAAATTCAAATGAAAAATCTAATAATCTGGATAAATTTGTCATTGCTAAGCATGACTGCTTAATCAGATTTATGGATTCCATATGCTCCACATAAAGGTAACAGGAAAGGAACTTCAGAGCTCACTTCGGCCTTGTTCAAGGTTGCCCAGTTTAAGACTCTTTGTAACACTTCAGTTGAAAGTTGAGGTGATGATTTTGTAACATATACAGCTTAAAGCATAGAGTATTTTTAGCTACCAGATTTTTTTATCATCCCTCTGCATGAAGAGCAGAAACGAAGTTGTTGACATGGAAAGATTAAAAGCTATTTTTATTCTACACTGTAAGTTAATTATTGCTACTTATTCAGTGACAGGCTGGCTATTTGGTAGATTTATGTCACTGTGGACGTGAATTTCATAAGTCCAGTCTCTCTCACCCAAGAAAGGGTGCTACAATGTGAAATTAGAAAAGTACAAAGCTGCAGAGAGTCCTGACTTCTGAAGAGTTCCCCAGGTGCTTCTGAGTGTGTCAGTAAGATGTTTGTAACAAGAAAACCTAATAGACTATCCTCTTTAAGGAAAAAACCCTAATAGACTGTCTTCTTTAACTAAAAGATCAAATATTTTCAGTTAGTTAAACAGTTTAATTAACTGTTAATTTACTGCATATAAAGAATAAATAGTATGGGCAATATTTTGAAATCTGCAAGAAAACTTACCCTTTGAAAAGAGTCAAAGTGATTCAGTGGTTTTAGTGGTACTAAACTAAAGATTTGCCATGTCCATTTAACTATATTTATCTGCTAAACCTTGCATATTGTTTTAAACCTGTCTTGAAATGCCAGAGGTGTCTCAACTTCAAGACTACACCTTAAATTCACATTTTTGTGAATGCAAATCAAATTGGTAGTTGTGTGAGTTTGCTTGTATTGGAGCCTGTGTGGTATAGTGGCTTAGGTTACCAGCATTCCCTTTTACATAATTTGGACTCAGCATGGAATAGTTCAGGAGTGGCAACAAATCTGGTGGTATGGTTCTGCAAAGCTAACTGGCACACTTCAGAACTCCTTGTTCTGGAGGAGCTTGGGGCTTTCACAGACATGGATGTTGTTTGCTGGTGGCAAGCTCTGAGGTGAAAGGCTATGGTAGATTGTCAGTGCTAAAGAAAAAAAATGAAAGATGAAGATTTGATTAATTCCTAGATATTACACTCTATGATAATGGAAATGAACAATCTGTTTGAAATCAGGTGATTGCATTAGGTGATCTGTGTAAGTCAAAATTCCACACTTGGACTCATGTCCAGCAAAGGACTTCAGGAATGCTATTTTTCCTTTACATTTCTTAAAGTAACTTCTTGGTCAGAACCTTCAGCTTGAGTCAGTGGAAGTTTGTCCCAAGAACGTAAGGGGAACTGCTGCACATGGCATCTGGGAATGTTATAGATACTTACAGTGCTTACAGTATCAGTCTGAATTACACTTAGCTCTCTGTGATTCTCTGACTCTATCATATCTCTTTCCATCTGGCAGTTTCAAAATGCAGGATGTGGTTTTGCCCTTGGTCTTTCACCCTCTGTTACTGCAGGTTTTTGTTCTCTCTTCTGAAAGAAGAACAAATCTGTTGTTGCATTTTCTTCATCCTGCTCATTTTCGAATTCTGATTGCAGGATTTTAAGCTGAGGAGCCAGCTTGTTATATTTAGATAGCGGCTGTTGACTTTCTGCTAAGCTGCCATCCTTTTCTCCTTGGAATTTTGTCTGTAAGGACAGGAGCCACTTCTGTGTGTATCTTTCCTCTCTCGGTGCTGTGGGATGATGACCAAGGATTCAGGCAAGGGCTAAGGGTTACTATCTCTGGCATACACTGTGTGCATTCTGTGTTATCTTTGCAGATGGGGATCTGCATAGCTGATGTTGAGAAAGGCTGAGCTGGCCAAAAGAGGAGGCCTGTGGAGATAGGATGGTCCTGTTTGTGCTTGGAAGAATGAAACAAAGTCATATCACCAAAATAGGACAAGAGGGCACGGGCTTAGGACAAGAGGGCACGAGCTAGGACAAGAGGACACGGACTTAAGCTCTGTCAGGGGAGGTTTAGGTTGAACATTAGAAAGAAGTTCTTTACAGAGAGAGTGATCAGGCATTGGAATGGCCTGCCCAGAGAGGTGGTGGATTCACCGTCCCTGGAGGTTTTTAAGACGAGGCTGGATGTGGCACTGAGTGCCAAGATCTAGTGATCACAGTGGGGTTGGATCAAGGGTTGGACTTGATGATCTCGGAGGTCTCTTCCAACCCAGTTAATTCTATGATTCTATGAAGGGTGGTTTAAATATTGAAATGCACAGCTCTGCATATGCTAATAAGCTTAATGAAGTACATGCTATTATGTATATGACTCTATTACTCAACTTTTCATGTAGATGATGCTATATGTAGAGAGGGAGGAGGAGGATAAGATTGGGCTGTATATAAGGACCTATAAGGGGCTCCCTGATCTGTGAGTGGAGAGAATCCCTCTATTGTTTCTATCTCCCTGCTTTTATTCTTCCTTGGGAGCAAGTGATATCTCAGAATGCTGGAGTAAAAAGTCCTTACCAGATTTCAGCATTTCCTAAGGGGGGCAACCACTTTCTATCATCAGCTAAATAGAAAAAGGAGAGGTCATGTGGCTTGACAGCATTCAATTCAGAGGAGGTGGAAAGGCAATTAAGGATAAATTTGAGTAAATACTGTTACCATGCTGGTGGAGTTGTGTCATTCTGCTATTGCAAAAAAAGAGGTGACACCCTCTGTTCAGTTTATGCAAACTATTTTTCCACTAACTTCAGTGGAAATTTTCCATCTGTGAAGATAAATCAATGTAGACCAGCATTACAAAATTATGAAAATTAAGAAGTTTACCCTTCTACAATGCCTACAGTCCTTGCACCTGCATCAAGCTCCACTGGAGTGACAAGTCTAAAGAGTAGTTGTCAGATTTTGGCCTAAATTACAGTAATCCATGACTTTAAAGCAAAAATAAAAACAAACAAACAAAACAAAAAACAAACAAACAAAACCATGAAGAAATCAAAATTCAATTATTGGATAACCCATTTTATTGCAGAAAATTAAGAAAAAGAAAAGTTTACACTGAAGTGGTAAGAAGTAAAATGTCTTCTATGCTCCATGAATTGCTCTATTTACTGAATTTTGAGAAGACTGATAAAAGGGGGATTTTACCCACTGAAGACAAAATTAGAAGGCAAAAAACCATTTTGAAATGCTACTGAGTTAGTCTGTTGGAAGAAGGCTATACACTTTTAAGCTGAATTTCCTAGATACTATAATAAATTTAGTAATAAACAAGAGTGGAGTTTGATCCACCATTTTC